AGAGGTCCTGCTGCTGTTCACTTTTATATTTTTTTATATTTTTTTTTATATAACTAGTTGTGTTAGTTTATTTTTGCTAATGTTGTTGTTTGCTGCAATTTGAGTAGGAGTGTAACGCAATTTCAATTTCTATGTATGTCCTGTACATATGCAGAATTGACAATAAAAATCAATCAATCAATCAATCAATCAATCAATATGTGAGATTTGTCAGTGGCTCAAACCACTCACCCTGTATTTTTAATAACCAGTGTCCTTGTACATTTATTAAAGGCAAAATGTGATATTTGCATAACTGTGGTTGCCTTCATTACATTTTGTCAATTCAGGTTTCAAAATTACCCAGTAGGAACTAGAAATGTTCCATACTCTCCTCCACTCAATCATGATTCGATGTGGTCACCACCCTCTGGAAGCGCTCCTTCTGCTGCTGTGCATGGAAAAATTGCAAGGTACACAGGAAAACAAGTTCAAAGCTTCAATTATGTTGGAGAGCACTTCTTCTATGCTCCCCCACATCTTCAGCTGCCAGTTTATTTATTTTATCAGTATTTTGACCATTTCTTCTTGGGTCATGACAACTGATGGCATCCAGACTCCAACTTGGGTAACTGCCAACGAAGCACGTCTCCTCCTCCTCCTTAATTGGCAGTAAAATCAAACTTCGTTCTTTTTTTTCTCTTTCATCTGGTTTAGCATGCCCGACACTCGTACATAGGGCACAACTGTCGTGCCCTATCAGGCAGCTTTTTGTGTTTCAAACATGTGAAGTTACTTTGCACTCAGATCTTCCTTGCATCCTTTCAACCAAACGTGAACACCTGATCCTCCTCCAAGACACGTCCTGGTGTTGCTGATGAGGCGTTGTCCATCTGCAACAAGGCACGTGATGCCCAAACAGCCTGCACTCCCATCTGACTGGCACCTGTCACCAGCTTCTCATGTTGTCCTCTGGGCGGTCCCGGGCGTTCATTTAGCAAAGACCAAGGAAACATCAAGCTGTGGAGGCAAGAAGTACTGCTTACAGATAGAGGGAGAATCATTAGTTTTCTCTTATATAACATTTGTTTACAGATACATTCACCCATTTTTCTTCTCCTGCCTCTGGGATATTGCAGACCCAGACCAATTTTATAACTTGAATTTGACCTGAAATCAATATCACTGGCTCTAGAGTCCTCAGATCTAGTCCAGCAGATCTAGGAGTTGCTCTGACAGGCAGCTCTGCTCTGTTATCAATTTTCCACATCAATTTAAAGGAGTGGTGCCTGGTACAATGGGTCTGTTATTCAATTGAAACACAGCCTGCAACAAATTTACTTTCCAGTTTGTCAAATCATGTTTTTCATTTAATTTTCTCAGCATTTTTTTTTTAACAGTTCATTCATTCTCTCAATCAGCCCAGCAGCTCGTGGATGATAAGGAAATATGATAAATCCATTCAACATGTTTTTCAGCTGACCAGTCTTTCACCTGTTTTCCAGTAAAATGGGTCCCATTATCTGTTTGTATCTGAAGGGGAACCCCATAAAATTATTTCATCATACTAAGACATTTTAAAGTAGATGTCTGATTTGCATATTTACAAGGATGAGTCACCAACACACCTGAATATGTATCTACAACTAATCAAACAATTCTTCATACATAACCACTTCATGCAAAAAGTGTCAACAGTTAACTTTTATTTATTAAAAAGAAGTCCTTCTTCTAGTCTTGGCCCCACTCAGAATATTTAGCTCATCAGTTTTTCCAAACTGAGGTGTTAACTTTTTCCACAGAACCCCTCTTGAAAAGAGCTGAACTTTCACTTTAAATGTGAAACATTTGCAAAACAAGATGGTGAATTCTTTTTTTTTCTCAGATATTTTTAGATACTTTGAGTTGTTTTAGATGCTGTCAAAACTATAGCTGCAGGTAAACCATTTATAAACAACATATGATGCACTTCCTTCAAAGCAGCCAGCTTAACACATCCCCTTTAAGTGCTCTGATGACATATTTATTAGACATTTCAAATCCACCCTTTTCCCCTTAAACCATCTTGACTTTAGGCATTTTAATTCATCCTTAGTGGCCCAAAATGTCAATGTTTGGGCCTTTAATGGCAACATCAGATGTCTTAATTTCTCCTTTGACCTTTGGCATTTTAAAATCAATATCACCTTCAAGTTTGGGGCTTTTTAATTTAACGTCAAAATCTTTGCTCTCTAATTCTGGACCTTTGATGTTCCATGTTGACAATATCTGCTTTCAGAAGGTTGATGTCAACTTCTGGACCCTACTTTTGGCCCTTTAATCCAAATAATGGCTTCCAGCCCTCAGCTCTTCTGCTGACACATCATCCATCTCAGCTGCAGGCACTCCTGCCTGTATTAATGCCCTCCAGAAAGCAGAACGGGTAGGTTCCTGCATGTTTTTTCCGGCTGTCCCTTCTCGGCCCACGACCCATGGATTGACTAAATGTTTTTTTCACGGTTTTCAGCCCTGTGTTCCAATCCAACACTCTGCTTTGAACATCAGTCCTTGAAAAAACATGTAGATGATAATCTACAACCCAACGCACAGCGAGCACATTCCTCACACACAGCCGAACCAATCTCTGCTCGCACTCCCCTAGGGTCACCCAATGCCCCTGTAAATCAGACCAATCCGATGCTATCTGTCGGGCTGTCTCTACACAAACTTCAAACGACGGTCTCGAGTCTTGCAAAGCTCTGACTCGATGCGCTGAATTCATTACCTGACCTCCACCTTTATCCAACAGCCTAGATACTTGAGCATCTGTGGGTTGTGCTATTTTAGACAAGTAAACAACCTCCTTGTCTCCCCAGATGCCACCGTCCCAACTCGACGGATCCCATCCGTCATCCAACCTTGCAACATAAGCTCCGACTCGCTCCGGCGAAACATCACGCTTCTTCTTTCTAATTTTTTCCCTTTTAAGCCTGCATATTTGCCCGACTGCACCCTCGGCTACTTTTGTCATGTGATTTAACTGTACCGTCAACAGCTGCACGTGCTGTTTCTGAAGCATGCACTCTGTCTGTGCATCAGACAACAACTGCCTCTGTTGCAACCACCGCTTATCTTTCTCCTGAACTTCCTCCACACACTTTTTCCATGCAGTCGCACAAACCCACATTCGGCGCTGCAAACCAGACACCGGCGCTTTCTTTCTCTTGAATTTTCCTCGCTTCAACCGGTACACCTGCTCCACCGCCCCCTCAACTACCCTGCTCATTCTCCCAAACTGAGCGCCGAGCAACTGTATGTGCCGTTCATTCAACAAGCAGGCGGTCCTCACATTATTGTTTGCTCCGTTGAGCCTGTGATTGTGTTTTCTGACTTTTCTCATGCAGTTTTTTCCCCAGGCTACCGCACACATCCTCATATGACGCTGAAGCCCTGTCACTGGTGCCATCTTTCTGACCTCTATTGCCTGCAAAGTGGTCAAAACATCACCCGGACTATCTGCTTTCAGAAAAATTGTTTTAACAACTAGGATGGGCTTCTTCCCACCTCTCAAACACAACACTAACAACTGGGATGGGACTTCTTCCCATCCCGGTACAACTTTTTCTCTGTTCCCCTCACGCCTCCTCAGGCGTCTGAATCAACTTTTTTCTGTTTTTAAACTCTCACACAAAGGCTTGGGGCGTCCCCCTCACCTCTTAAACACAAAGCCAAACAAAGTTGGATAACTCTCCCAACCTGGCACAACCTCTTGTGGACTCTTTGTCCAGATGCACTTGCATCAACTTAACACTTTTTTTTTTCCTTTCGTTTGAACATGGTGCAGCCGTTCAGAATTATTTATTTATTTTAATAATATCCCATCCTCGTCGCCAAAATGTTTTATGAAATTAGTTTAACAGGGGTCGTGAACGGTCGGCACCGGATATTCACATGAGAGGAAAATGAAACACAAGTAGACTGTCCTGCTAGAATAATAGTGTCATTTTATTAATCTGCCACAGAAAAACAGCCAAGCAAAAAACATGTACACTCGTACACTCTTAACACACAAATTGATATGAAAGTCCCCTCACCGTTGACACTTAGTCGGGAAGCCTTTCGACCCGATGACAGGTAAATCACATCAAATTACTGAGCTGGGCACCTCACGCGTGGTCCGCAGCAGGCTTCTGACTCTCCTTGCCTGTCACACCTCCTATATACCCCTCCCTGACCGTATCGCGTGAGAGCAGTGAAAAACAAGTTTTGATGGTTGTCAGGCGGACAGACAGAAAGTCGGTATCTCATTAAAACATGTTTTCCATCATCAAAGCAGTCTGTGCAACAGAGCGATGGCTCATAAAAACATGTCCTTCAAACCCAAAGTCGTGGGTGGATGAAAGACCTGTCTACATCAAACTCTGGGTCACTGTAACCATTAAGATGGGCCAGATCCATGGTCAGAGCATCCCCTGGAGGCTCACTTTTAATTACTCCAAAACACATCTGCAGCACAGACCTGACTTTGGACAGATAAGCTGCATATAAAGTGAGTATAAGTATAAATTGACATAAAAGCATCAAAATAATCATTCCTATATCATTCCACCCTTGCCTTTTATGGCAATTTAGACATTTAATTCTGATAAGTAACACACAAAATATATGTTTGAATAGCCATAAAGGCAACTTTCATTCCACCCTTTGCCTTTATGGCATGTAAAACATAATACAACTCTTTAATTTTGACAAAATATATGTTTGAATAGGCATAAAGGCAACTTTCATTCCACCCTTTGCCTTTATGGCATGTAAAACATAATACAACTCTTTAATTTTGAAAATCACTCTCCTGAAATTGAAATTGTTCTGGGAATAACCTCATAACTTTATCCTGAATAAACTCACTCACAAAGTTAAGAAAATTCAGACGAGTTTCAAACCCCTGGAACGTTTCATTTATTACATTCCCACTGACACGATCATTGTAAATCAAAACATCTGGTAGGTGTTCAGGTTCGAGTGTGATTATAGTTTTTTCCCTACCAAACCATGTACCAAGCTGTATAGTAAATTCCCTGATTAATTCTTTTTTTTTAAACCCTCCTAATATAAAAACAAGTTTCCAAAATACACAAAGTTAATACAGAGATACATAGATCAAAATAGTTATTCTTCTTTTCACTAAACAAGCAAAAGAGATACTGCATATATTTTGCGCCGTAGATAATATTCCTGCGAATATATCCCACCAATGGTGAGCCAACGTCTACACTATTAGTTTAGCCACATGTAAAAACCTTTCTTTGAGCCATGCAGGTGGACACTGTTAGATCAGACACGTTTAGACTTTTGAGATTCAATCATTCGTTTCAGCTCTGTAGACCCATTTCAATGCACATTTTGAAACGGTCTAGGGAGACTCGCCAGGGTACGTGCAAAGTTTGCCATTGTACCTCTGTTAGTCGAGTGGTGGAACTATAATTAGTTAATT